GTATGTGGTTTTATCATGGAATACAGGAAAGGGCTTTGGGGTCAGAAAAGTCTAAAATTCAAATGCAATGTCAGCTACTGATTAGTCAGTTGGGACAAGTTCCCCAGATGGCTGTGAATGTGAAAGGGTGTCGAGGACCTCATATGCACCTGGCACACAGTAGGTGTCAAAATGTTAGTTCTCTTCCTCTCACTTGTGGTTTTAAGGCGATCTGGAGATACAGAGATTCATTAAGCATTTTTTTTCTTTTACTTTGGAAATAAAAGAGGCATATTTGTTTTTTAATTCAGTTTCACTTTGATGAAGCAGCTACCTTTTGAACAACAGATAATTCATTAGTTATAATTAACATTACATTTAGAAAAATGTAATTTTGTGTAACTGATATGCAAACCTTTTCTCTTTGGAAAATAAAATTATATTTTAAAATATTAAATACATAAGAAACAAACCAACAATTGTAATGCCCCAATGAATCCTGAAATTTATTATCTAGGAGAATATCAGATATTGATTGTTTGTTTTACAGCTCATGATAATGATCAGAAAATACACATTTTGAAATGAAAGTCAAAAGAATAATTACATATAATACAGATTACAGATTTTTTTTATTTGTACATAAGCAAAGCAGTACTAAAAGCATATTTGTATGTCCACAATTAGTGAATGTGGCAATTTTCTGTTTAAAGCTGCAGCAATTCAAATCCTCCTAAGGTCAATAAAAAAAGAGAAATTGAGAAATGGATTTAGGGCTAAGACCATGTTTGGCTGTAAACCTATTTTTTAATCTTTCCCCTCCCCCTTAAATATATATATATATATATGTATATACTTTATTGCCTTTATATTTCCGCTGGTTTAATATAATTAGTATACTAAATAGTTATCTGCATTTATTTGGTTTCTAAAAATATATAAAATGCATTGGAATAGAGCTCCTGCAGCTTTCAAGCAGTCACTGTCCTGGCATCGAAAGCTTATTCTGGAAATGTAAAGCAGCAATACTGAATAAATAGTGATTGTTTTGTCTTCTCTGTACAGCTGATGGCCTTCACCCAAAACTTTAAAATACTGTAGCAAATAGTATAAACATGCAACTTAAAAAAATCGACATAAAAGTAATACTTACGAACTAAATTTTAATAAAATATAGACTAATAAAGATAACTTTTGGTAGAAGAGGGATGTGAACACACCTGTGTTATTTACATATAAATTAAGGCCCAATTTTTTAAAGGCTATGCACACCAGGAACTGCCCATCTTTGTATGCCTCACTCTTTGTACGGCTGAAGTCAGTTTTTTACTTTTTTCCATATTATTTACTCAATCCATTATTACAGTTCTAACTTGGAAAGATGTTCACAGAAAAGGCTTTAAATGAAGGGTTTCTTTTCTCTAAAGACTGTTTTGCTCTTATTCACAAAGAAAATTCTTTTAATGCAGGTGCAAATTTTTTTTATGTTGTGGTGGCAAGTACTTATTTGTTTTTCTTAAACACTGTTATATTTCACATTTCACAACATAAATTATTTACTATATTAGTCTTGGTTTAGCTCTAACTTATGACTAATTTGAATTTCGGGAAGTGAGGATTAGTTCATTGATAACTGAGGGAATTAAATCAGTAATTCCTGTTAATATCAAATTAAATGTCACAAATGAATTCCCTGTGCGCCAAGATGAAAATCAAATGCTAACAAACCAGAGTCTATCTCGCCAGGACAACAAAAGCACTAAGACAACCTACTGTGAATCATTCTCCGAGAAGAAATGAAGACTTAAAAGGTCAGATATACTGGTGCTACTTCAAATCATTTCTTGGTTCAAAAAAGAATCATCTTTTAATGTCTTTAATACTTCTAGAAAACCCTAATAAAACAGTTTGCAGTATAATAAAAAAATTTTTAATCTAATTTAGTATTAAGGACCTGAATATTATCCCAGATGCAAAATTTTATATTTGGTATTTTTGTATACCATTGCCTGCTCCTGTCTCTGAAATGTATCCAAAGATGTGGCACTTATTCCAACTCATTTGTATTCACAATAGATAAAAGTGATCAGGAATAGACTAAAATATTTTAAGATGTCCTAGCAAAATGAGTCTTTTCCCCTCTATTTTAAAAAAAGATATATAAAATATTCCTATGTGCTTCCAGAAGTAATGTAACATTAAAAAGTAAGGCTGCTCAATGCATTCATCACATTCACGTTTAAATACTAGGAAACAGTATTTCTACCTATAATTAGGCCCATGATGATTATTTGGCAGCTTGAAAATTCTGATGACATTGTTAGAGGTTAACTGTGATACTATGCTGGTGCTACCAGTTGGAAAGATGCTTCTATTCTTTCTTTAAAGCTGTAAGATCAATGCTGATAATAATTTAGAACAAATAAGTTGAATATGGAGAAGAGCTCTATGACTGTGTTTTTCATAGCACGCCAAGGCACCTTTGCAATTTACAATTGCAAAGTTTAATATATCTTTAGTTTAACATTTTTTATTTAAATAGAATGTGATCAATTTATAAAAATGTTTTTCTTTGTGAATAATTCAATTCTTCTGAACAACAACAACAAAATGATTCTTAGCATAGAATGGGATCTTTAAAAGTAAGGCATATATTGGGCATCCGTAAGTCATTACTGTCACAAAAGCTACAAATTATTTTGATTTTTAATTATTCTAATTTTTAAATATATGCTATTATAAATTGAGAGCAAATGTGTACAGGCTGTGGTTATGTAGGTAAGAATCACTTAAAAGGTCAGATATACTGGTGCTCAAATTATTTGCAAAACAGTATAATGGCAAAGTCAACTTGATAACTCCAAGAACGCACCCCTCAAAAAAAAAAAAAAAAAAAAAGCTTTAGTTGAGGTCTGCCATTTAGCTGGATTAGAAAAGGCCACTTTTCATTATTCCTTTCAGTCCTCTATAAGCTTCTATATATTTTCATAGCCATTCTTAAAATTTTTTCATAGGAAACCTAAATATAGCAGCATTCTCAGCATTCATTAAACCAAAAATAAGTCAAATGTGTTAAAACATCCAAAGTTGTCTTCATGCATAAGACACAACTTCCTTTTATTGTTATCATGGCATTAATATATTAATCCACTTTTACTTTGTTCCATGTAAATAATACAGATAACATATTTTCCTTAGAATTAAAAACTACTTTAAATTTCAGATTAAAGTCTTAATTATATTGTACCAAATTTCGATCAGAGGAAATGTAAAAATAGCTAAGAGGTGTCAGACCATACTAGTCTAGATATTACTTGTGAATCTTAGTTAAGTCACTGTTTGTAGAAGGGGTGTTGACTCATGTTTTGGCTTTATGAATAAAAAAATAAGTATGTACAAACAGAGATTAATGTCCTATAAAAGTCAAGCTCACAAATTAAAACAGGTACTGAATTTAACTTTATTTCCTTGGTAAAAAATACCTATCTCCAATCTACTTTCTCTCTGCCCAAGTGACTGGAGAGATCACAATGGTTAATATATACAGGATAAATAATGTGCAAGAACAAGTTACCCACGTGGTTATGCCAACAGACCAGACGTATGAGGTGGGTATTTAAAAAATGTCACTTAAAACAACATTCCTGAAGTAGACCAATCTGGTCCTTAGATCTATACTCAGAGGATCCATGAGGGTAAAATGACAAGGCAGGGCACATACGAAACACATAACCCTACAGGAAACCCCATGCCTGTTTCAACAGATATTTAACAATCATATTTTGGCCCAACGGTGTTTGAAACACTGAGAACCTTGTAAACATACAATTAACCTTGTGAAAATATTTCTGTTCTGGTATATGGTCATTCATGTTTGGGAAATACTGCAAAGGAAGATTAAATTTCAAAATTTATAAAACAAAACCCTTGAATTATTTCACTAATTAAGCAACAGCCAGGAGAAGTTCACAGAATTAAGTTAATTAAAATAAGCGCAAGTGGGTTCTTCTGGAGTTATTTCCATGGTGGAGCAACCTATGACACCTGTCTAGTTGTAAATCAGTAACATATGGAGGGAGTTTGGCAACATGCACACAAAGTCATAATCACACAATATGTAACATAATTAAGCCACAGGATAAGTATTAGAAAATATTAAAATATCAACATTCACATACTCATTGATTACATGGAATAAATTACACTAAGCCAGTCACATACTTCTCTGCATTTGTAAGTCACTTTTATTTATGTATACACATAGAATAATACTTCTCCTACTGCTCTCAAAATGCTACAAATAAAAATGAAGGCCTTGCATCACAGCTGCTGGACAGAACATCAACACTGCTGAAGTGTGAAAACACAGTTTCTTTGTTCTTTAGCATCAGTGCACAGGGTATGGCTCCAAGTGGTATGCAATTTAGGACAGAAAAAAAGATACAGTGGCTTGTGAAATATCTCCTCTGTTCGTCATTGGCACAAATCAAAGAAGAAAGTTTTACTGTCCTTGGTACCTTTATTGGGTCTCTCCCCCAAAGACACATGATGTTATACATATATGCCTTCGGGATTAAAACCAGATGAGATAGGATTCTGTAGAATACGAAGATTACTGGGGAGCTGCCGAGATGAACCAGGTCGCTTCAGGGACCCAGACTGGAACGGTGCCTCTAAACAGGAAATAAAGAAAGTCAGTTGGCTTAATCATCAACTTGGAGTATTTAGCAATGTGAAAAATTAAAACGTTTCCTGTCCTAAAGAACCAAAGAACCTGAACTGGTGAGCTGCATATAGGAATAATTGCGATCTCCTGTGGGTAAAGGGTGAGAGGAAAAGACCAACTCTGACCCTCTCAAGTGGCAGTTAATTTGATAAGCCAATTTTTGGTGATTTAGTTAATAAGTCTTTTCAAAAGGTGAGTTTCTTAGTCTCTTAGTGCTGCTATAACAGAAATACCTCAAGTAGGTAGCTTTTTCGAACAGAAATTTATTCTCTCACAGTCGAGAAGGTGAGAAATCCAAACTGAGGGCACCAGCTCTAGGGGAAGGCTCTCTCCGTCTACTGTCAGGAAAAATCTTGGACTCTTTCAGCTTCTCTTCCTCAGTTCCTGGGTGATCTCCACGTGGCATCAATCTTTCCCCATTTGTGCTTCCTTGCTTCTGTGCCTAATCTGCTTCTTTAATATTTCAAAAGTGACTGGCTTAAAGACACAGGCTACCCTGATAGGGCTTCATTAACATAACAAAGAAAACCCTATTCCCAAATGGGATTATATTCAAAACTATGAGAATTAGGATTCCAACACATATTTTTTGGGGGCAGAATTCAATCCATAACAGTGAGCATTTTGCTTCTTTTCTTGACTGTTCAGATTACATATATACATGGATTTTGCAGTGTCTCTTCAATATAAGCACAAATTAATAATCAAGAGTTTTAGGAGAGGAAGAAGGAAAAGGGAAACAATAGGAACAGAGAGAAGCTAAAATTCAAATAAATAGACTCTAATACTGTAGGGAAAGCTTTTATAAAGAAGCAGGTTAAAACTAACGATGTGATATTGGTGATTACATGCTCACTTAAATAAATAAATAACCTAAATGTAAAACTGATTTTCTCCAGAAGCAAGAAGTTTTAAAGTTGGCCCTAGAATTAGCTGTGAATGGGAGAACACTTTAACTGAATGCAAGCAGTTTATTCAAAGTTAATCAGTGAGACTAAAGGAGAAAAAAAAAAAAAAAAGCGGATTTATCAACATCTTACCCCTTTCTATGTCAGCATGGGAGGCCTCTACTTCAGTGGGCTCGGCTGGCAAAACAGTAACTTTTGTCCCTGTCTGCTGGATAAATTGCTGGAGATTGACTTGGCGCAGCTCTTTAGTCAACTGCTCCAGTTCTTGCTCTTTGTCCTGCATGACAGTTAAAAAATTTTTTTTGAGAGTTTACTACTGGCCAGCTAAGGACAATCCATCAGATACACGGGTTGAATGTGGCATACCTGTTTTCACAAGAATGCATTTAACAGATCTAGTTTAGGTCACTTCACTCTGTGGCACGGGTAAACAAAGACAGCAGCTTCTCAACACCTTCCTGTTAAATGTGATGCTTTCCTCTTTTAGGAATATCACTATGAACCTGCTGACATAAATATGGCAGGTCCATAAACTTTCATCAATAAAATACTGGTTCCCATCTGTACCAATGTTACAGAAATCTTGATAAGCTGTTCACAGTTCTATTTCCTCTATTAACCACTTCATAACTGACTGCAAGTTTGATAGTCATTTGGTCTATGAGATGTCATATTTTTTTGTTTTTTGTAAACAGTCATGGGATCCATTACTGAGATTGATACGATAGCACGAGGAAAGGAAGATTCTCACAAGATTCTCACTATGGGGTTCTTAAATCCTTGCAAAGGCAGGCTGAGAACTGGAGAGCCCTAAAGATCAAGCTTAGACAACTGGAAAGCTCAAAAAGCAAGGCTTATTTAACTGGATTTTTTTTGCGTCTCTTTCTCTCCCCTACCAAACTGTAAGAAAAGGTGGTGAGGCTGCCCCTAGGCTGGGTGTGTCTGGGGGGATTGGTAGAGTTAGGGTAGGGAAGAGACATTAGTGATGAGTGGCTGCGCTTCCCTTAACTATATAGTCAGCACTGGGTGATATGCTAGTGGTTTGGACTATTAAACACTTTTCAGTAGTTAGTGGGACTTACTAATGATGATTCTCATAAACTGGTGTTTCTTATAAGCTATACTGAAGGCAACATAATTTCCAACTGTACTCTTTTTCAAGGGCCAAAATGAATACAAATAGTAAAATACTGATAAATCAGAGGCTGACAATCTTTTACTACATGAGAAATTTCTGGTTTTCAGTATTTGGTGGTAGCTTTACCTCTCATTACAGTTAGTGACAGAGAAAGGAGATCACATCTCTTCATGAAACCTCAGCTTTCTCTGCTTGTGGAACTGTTCATATGCTAAAGCTGCTCTCCCCAAATGTCAATGTGTACAGGCACTCCTTGGGAGATCTTGTTACAATGTAGATTCTGCATTTCTAGCAAGGGTGCCCCGAAGTTGCCCAGAACAGGTCACAGTTTGATGGAAAGCTTCTAAACCAGCAATGTCCAATAGAACTTTCTCCAATGATGGAAATGTTCCGTAACTGCATCGTCCAATACAGCAGTTACTAGACACACGTGGCTATTGAGCACTTTAAATGTGGCCAAGTGCGACTGAAACAGAAATATTATTTAATATTTTTGAAACAGCTTTCTTGAATACTATTTAATTCTGATTACTTTAAATTGTCACATGTGGCTAGTGGACAGTACAGACCTAAGCATATCATCCTCAGTTGTGTCTCTTTTTCCTCCCATCTGCTCCTGACTGTATGATGCAGCTTTGCAACTGACTCCCAGGGCAACTGTCACAGTGTCCTTTCAAGTTGAGTGAGCAGGGTCTAAGCAGCGACATATAAACGTTCTTATATATGAACTAGAGAGGGGAAAATGTGAGAGGAACATTTACGCCCCTCAGGAAAGCAGAGGAGGGCCCCATGGAGATGGGAGGAGCGAAGGGGACTATTTACATCTCAGGAAAGAGGATGAGGCTGGCAACAATAGAAAAGTGACAGATAAGCAGTTGGCCAGCCAAACAATCCCTGGGAAGTCAATCCTTGGTAATCTCTCTTCGGCATCAGTTTCCTTCTCTCTAAAAGGGGAAGGTCAGATGCACTATCTCATCATTAATGTCCATTCCAGCTATGAGATTCTGTTTTCTTCCACCCAATTAGCTAACGCTACAACTGCCACAGTAAAAACAGCTTCTTCCATGGAGCAAGGATCAGTGTGGCTTTATTTCTCATTTTTGTTCTCATCTCACGTCTAAGCTCTGTCTTAAGTCGTAAGGATTCCAAAAATCTTATAACAAGGGTAGGTTTCTATTCGTTTAAATATAGGGGAGAGTGGACAATAGATAAAGATTACAAGAATAGATTAATTTTGTTAAATAGATGGGAAATGCATTATTTATAAAAATGTTCTTACCTGTAATCGTTTGGTGGCTTGTCCAAGAGATCTTTCCACAGCTTTAATCCCATTTTCCAGCCTCAGACTCTGCTGGCCTTGAATGTCAATTTCCCCTTTGACCTTACCAATCTTCCCTTTAACCTCTTCTTCATTGACTTGTGCCTCCTGAACCTTCCATTGCAATTTTTCTGCTTCAAGGCCATTTTCCATAGTCTGGATCTGCGCTAAATAGTCCTTTAATTTGCTCTCACATTCTGTTATTTTCTGTCTTATTTCTTGAAGTTGATCCTTAAGCTGTTTTTCATTTTCCTGTTCAATCTGTAATTCATTTTCCCAAAATTCTTCCTCCTCAATTTCCACGTCATTTCTTTTGATCTTTTGCTCCAGGCGGACAATTTCCTCTTCAAGGTTAGAATTATATTTTTGCTCCCAAAATCGTATTTCTACTTCATTTGATTCCAGCTGTTTCTCAATGGATTGAAGCTTCTCTGTCTGCAAACGGATCAGCTTCTTTAACTCGTCTGCTGTTGTTTTACAGTTATTCAGCACCTTTTGCTTGAATTCAGTTTCTTTACTTTTCCCAAAAATGTCCATTAATCCTTTGGCACCTCCTGTAAATGTTAATGATTTCCTCTTGGGTTCTCTCCTTCTGATTGATTTGTCATTCTGAGGCCTCAGTTTAGCTAAGGGAGGCAAACTCTGCCGGTATAAAGTTCTTTCAGGAATTCGGGCCACACTATCTGAAGTGGGTCGCTCACTGAGAGATGGCCCCGTTCGACGTAAAATTAGCTGTACATCACTGGCATATTGCCCCCATTTGTTTAAGGATATGATAGGATTTTCATGAGGTGCTAAGTGTCTTTCAGTATCTCTCCATTTTTCTATAAGGGTGTACCTTCCAGTTCGACCTAGGTAAAAAGATAAGAGTCAATTGTCAGTGGCTATGCAATAGCTAAAATAATGCAACAGAGGGTGCTATTTGATAACTGTATTTTTTTAAATTTTATTTTGTTGTTGAGAATATACACAGCAAAACATACACCAAGTCAACTGTTTCTACATGTACAATTCAGAGACACTGATTATATTCTTTGAGTTGTGCAACCATTCTCACCTTCCTTGTCTGAGTTGTTCCTCCCCCATTAACATAAACTTAACTGCCCCATAAGGTTCCAATCTAATCTTTCGAGTTGCTGTTGTCACTTTCTTCCTATATAGATAGTTCTTAAAAAGCATAATGCTCAAGGTAGACATTTTTTACTAGTTAAGCTAAAGTATTGTTTGGTTTTAAGAGGATATCAGGGGATATTTTTGGTTTAAGGTTTAAATACTATCTTAGGGCAAGAGTTTCAGGGGTTCATTCAGTCTCCATGGCTCCAGAGAGTCTGGGGTCAATGGGAATTTGAAATTCTGTTCTACGTTTTCCCCTTTTGATCAGGAATCTTCTATAGAATCTTTGATCAAAACGTTTAGTAATGGTAGCTGGGCACCATCCAGTTCTGGTCTCTCGGCAAAGGAAGCAGTTGTTCATGGATACAATTAGCCACACATCCCATATCCTCTTCCTATTCCTGACTCTCCTTCTTCCTCTGTTGCTCCAGGCAAACAGAGACCAATTGTTGTACCCTGGAGGGCTGCTTGCAAGCTGTTAAGACCCCAGGCACTAAGTAACAGACTAGGAGGTAGAATAGAAGCACTAAGCAAGTTATTAGGCCAATTAACTGGGATGTCCCATGAAACCATGA